AAAACATAAGACACGGCAACAATTCTCTCATCTTTCTCTTCTTTCCTCTACTTTCAAAAGTGAAAATTTCCTCATTATTTTGGTATTATTTTTTTGGGCAACCGTTCTTCATCTGAGCTGAAGCTCTGTTCTCTCGCCTGAGTATAGAGGTCGGTCGCTTCCGGGGTTTTTACTGTTAGGGGAGAGAGGATCATCTGCACCAAAAACATAAGACACGGCAACAATTCTCTCATCTTTCTCTTCTTTCCTCTACTTTCAAAAGTGAAAATTTCCTCATTATTTTGGTATTATTTTTTTGGGCAACCGTTCTTCATCTGAGCTGAAGCTCTGTTCTCTCGCCTGAGTATAGAGGTCGGTCGCTTCCGGGGTTTTTACTGTTAGGGGAGAGAGGATCATCTGCACCAGGGTGATAGGTGGGTCCACGTTACCGTATTAATTGTAGGAATTGTAATGGCTTTCTCAACCCTATATATACACCCCTTATTCATTTTCGGAAAAGATACAGAAACAATTCTCTCTTCTTCCTCTTCTCTCCTCTGCATATTATTTTCGTTCATATATTGGTGTTATTTTTGGACAACCGTTCTTCGTGAAGAACCTCGCTCCCTCCAACTGGTCCATAAGATCATCAATCCGAGGTAATGGGTAGCGATTCTTGATGGTTATCTTGTTAAGCGTCCGGTAATCCACGCACATGCGCTAGCCTCCATCCTTTTTAGGCACCAACAATACTGGAGACCCGCAAGGTGAACAACTCGGCACAATCACTCCTATCTCCAAAAGCTCCTAAACCTACCTCTTGATCTCCTCAGACTCCTGTACAGATGTGCGGTATAGACCTATATTCGGTAAGGAATTCTCGTCGGTCAACATAATCTCATGCTCCACACCTTGTCACGGTGGTAGTCCCGTGATCTCCGAAAACAAGTCCGCGTACTTGGCCTTCAACCTGTCAAGATCTCCCTCCTGAAGCTTGTTCAAGGTAGTCAAGCACACCCTTCTCAGCTGCTCCTCATAAGGTCTAATGAATAACAATACAAACTTCTTACTCACATTCATTAGACTCTTCGCCTGTGTCACCATCACCAAACACGTCTCCTGTAGAAGAGATGCCGAGCGAATATGAATTGATCGCCATCCTTGGTGAACGTATACTTCTGGGCCCGCCTATCATGGACCGCATACCTATCCCATAAGTAAGGATTGCCTAGTATCACTTGGCAAAAATCCAACGGAACGACGTCGCATGTGACCTCGTCAATATACGACTCGTGAAGTGCAAATCTGAAAGTACACTGGTTGACCACACTCAATCCCGCCTCCTTCTGAATCCACCCCAAAGGATAGAGTTTCAGATGTTTGACCGTCTTCAATCTCAGTTTCTGAACCAATACTTCGGATATTAAATTATTCTGGCTTCCTGGATCCACTATGGCATCAACCAAGCTGGTCTTGACCTGCAATTTCAAAATAAAGAGTTGTTCCCTCAGGTCTTCGTTGTGACGCCCCTAGGTTCACACAAGGCTGCAGTCCAAGGTGAAACCAAGAATGTCAAACCTGCTAAGCACCACACCGTGCAATAACATGTTTCACCATCACAATTTTATCTCTCTAGTGAGTCAATAATAGGTGTAGGTACAAAAGCAAGTAAGAGATACTACAAGAGATAACTGATGAAACGATAAAGATCAAATAGTATTTCCATCATCCAACACACAGGAATATAAAGTCAATGTCTAAAATGAACAAACTGGAGTTCTTAATGCGTCTCAAATACAACAAGTCTGAATAAAGGAAATAAGGCACACAGCCTTTACAACGTCTAGAATAAAAGTCTCAAATGTCTAAACAAAGTCTATAGTGGAGCTCTAAAATAAAGCATAGCTAGAATAGACAGTCGAACACTAAAGTGTGTCGCCATCAACCTGCGACTCTCCGGGCTCCTGGCTCGTGACCTGAAAGGGGGAGGGACAACGAGCGTCAAAGCGCTAGCGAGCAACATCACAACCAACCCCAAGGGAGAGGGTTCATTGTAAGAAAAATACAGTTATCACAAAGTATATATATATACAATTACCCTAACAATAAACAATGGGTCTTAGTACTTATGAAGTTTTAACACGGGCATAGGTACGCCGAGCGAAATAATCCAAACAAGGAAACCCTCATGTATATACCTTGTATCCCAAATTGAAAATCCTTAAGTACCAAACCCGGAGTCTAATATGTAAACAGAAATAAGCAAAAAGAAAATTACAACATGTCTCCGAACATATATATATATAGTATTATGTGACGTCCCACATAATTACCATGTCGTATTTGACATAAGTGTCATATCATACTCTCAATATATGTGGTGTCATATTCTTCATAAGTGTCATGTCATAACTCATGTGAAATGTCGCATGCATGGTTAATAAAGATGTCCAGTACATGAATTAGATATAGAGATTTCCCAACACATGAGATAAATGGATAATTGCCCAACACGAGGACTGAAATGGATTATAGTCCAACACGAGGACTTCTATGGATTATAGTCCAACACGAGGACTGTGCAACTGAGCAAGTATTAGTGATATACAAGGCATGGTTTACTTATGCAAAACTCACACTCAACTCGTCGTGTGATCCTAGGCAAGTATTTCGGGCCATCTATCATGCATAGATGCTTAGTACAACTGTAGATTTAAAGTTAGGTGATCGAGGCAAACGCTCTAACGAGTGCACTATACTGCATAAACAAACAGGGCAGGAAAAACTGTG